CGCCCGCGGAATCCCGTAAATATCGGGATCTATTTAAAAGAAATAAGCTGGAAAGGGTGTTCCGCGCGCGAACGCTTGCGCGCGACTCGCTCGGCTCGGCACGCAGCGGTTCCGCAACGTTGACGGAATTACGAGGCGGACTGTGTTCCACGAAACAAGCGACACGACTTTTATTGGTAAATTAAATAATAACACGTACGATGGAAATAGTTTCCTCCTTCGCTAACGATGCAGTTTGAAAACGCGACGATTCTGAGATCGAAGGTTCGAAGAAAGTATCGTGGAGGAATATGTTCATTGCGAGTTCCCTCGAGTATTTTAAGTGCAGATGATTCATTTTTACAAACTTACGGAATTAGACCGATGCGAGGTGTATTTTTGAACCAGAAGAAAGCAATGTTTAACCCTTGCGCTCGAGAGTTGACTCACCGCTAGATTTAACATAGGAAAATTCTATATAGTAATATGTTTCTTGGCTCTGAATCGTTTCGTTAATTAGTTTCGAAGAGTCTCGTTCAGATCTCGCTGAGAAATGTCGAATATTTCTAGCGCAAATCGTTCGACTGCAAACGGTTAAGTGGAGGTTTATTAAAAAATTCACAGGATCGGAATGATTGGAGTCGCAGGAGGACAGTTGCATAATTAGACGATTCGTTTGTTCTGTTTTCATCGGTTCGCGGCGTGATCTAATATCCGGTTTATCCCGGCCACGGAGAAACCGTTTCAATCCCGTGGCGAGATAGGATCGTGTACCGTCGTGCGTTGCATTGAATGGCTGCAATTGTGCAGCTGCAGTTCAGTAACGATTATTGGTGTAGGTACATGTATACCAATAATGTTAACGAGACACCTCGTACATCGTTGTCCGCGCGTGATTTCCCTCTATTACGATCCTCTCCCCCTGTTATCCCCTTTGTCTTCCCCCACTTCCGCTCTTTTTTTTCCTACACTCCCGACCATCGTTGCTGTTCGCCTCCGATTGAACCGCGAACGCTAGTCGAACGAAGTATACTTATTCGAGTAATGCGCATCCCTCGAGGAAGGGAAAAGGAGGAAAAGGAAGAAGAACATTCCTAAGAGATTCCCGATTTTATTGAACACTGAGTGATGAGCTACAAATTTGCGCAAGAATCCTACAGCTGTCTTCCCTATTGATCGATAACTTATTAACCCTTTGCACTTGAAAGTCTCTCGCCAGAAATGTCCTACATTTTTCAAGATACAGACATTCCATGAAGTTAACGAGACAAGATTTCTAAATAACCTCTAATTACGTTCTTACCGAATAATCAAGAATCAACGTTACAAATGAAACGTCGATTGCAATTGCAGTGGTATCGATTTATGCAAAATAATCATTTCTCCTGTACGATCATTTTCCCTGGAATTGCTCCATAAGACCTTATCATTTTCCCGCATCGAATCCAGTGGTGACTTACAATCAGCTTTCGAGTGCGAAGGGTTGATAATCGTTTCCGCGTGTCTTTGCCGCGAAAGAACGAACGACGCACAGAACCGGCGAAAGATTCGCGCGGCAGTGAACGCGTTAAAGAGTCCTCGACGCGGGAAGTGCGTTCCATCATCGACGGGACACCGACGTCGCGTTCGCGGCCGAAATTACGGCCGACTTCCCATTGTTTGGACACCGGGAATTTATGGTAACGGGCTGCACTCGCAGTCATATTCCAATTCGCATGCCGAGATATTGATCTTAATTTGAATCTACTGGGCGGCGCCTTAATTCAGATCAATTGGCCCGCCAATTAATTCGGGGCTAACGGCCAATCGGCTGCCACGACAATAATTAGCGGGGGCCGCCGTTCCGCGCGGGGAGGCCGAGGCGGAAAAACGGGCGACGGAGATTCCTTCTGTTCGCGGGACACGCGCCGCGAACGCGTTCGCCAAACTCCGCGCCGCGTTTATGCAGCTCCCCGTCGCGTAACTTCCGACGCGGGGAAAAAAAGAGCCGCGCCGATAACGCGAGGGATCGCGTTACGCGATCCGCGACGTGGCGAACCGAAGGTCGTTAAGCGTTCAGATAACGGGTTCAGTAAAATACATGGAAATCAGAGAATGCTTTTAAGCCAACGGAACGTTGCGCGATATGGAAATTCGCAGATTTTCTTATTACCCCGTGTTCGAACAAGGGGTGGATCGCCTTCGGTAAATCAACGGTCTTTATTAAGCACACGCCAGCGATTGGCCTGGATCTAGATATCAAAGCGGGTCGAACGTGTCAAGAAACTACTGGAAAGATTCGAGAAAGGTCTCGTCGGGAGTATCTCTCGAATGATATTTCGATTATACGCGGCCGGAGTTGCAGGAACCGAGGTCTTTCTAATTTCTAGCCGAGTATCACGTCGGAAACTATTACAGTGTCAAAACGAACCTAAGTCGCAGCGGATAGCATTTGTAAGGCTTTGATTGGACTCTACCCTCTAAATTGATTACGAAGCTATGGGTCTTATCACGGCCGTTTCTGGTTCCACCTGCGCGCTACAGTCAGCCGTAAACTCCGAGCGAAGTTCGAAAAACTTCTGATAAACGTCCGCACGAAGGTGCGGCAACTTTAGCTACCCGAGATATCACTTCGCGAGCGTTAATTAAACGGGCGCGGAAAAATCGCTTCGATCCGGGGGAAACAGGATCGGTCTGAATCTTTCATTTACATTCGTCGGGACGGGAGGGGGCGGGGGCCGCGTTTCGGCGAACCTCGCGGCTCGAATAAAAGTTGCTCCATGTTTTAATAATGCCGTCTGGTAACGAAGATCATGTAACGACGGAAGTCAAACAGAAGAAAGAAGTTTAATTACGCCGGCCCGGCGTAATACAAGCGCGGCTGGCCGGAGGCAAATTTATGGTGGAACTCCTTCGGCGAGTATCGATTCAGAAGTAAATATAGAGCCGAAGTGGCTAGCCCAATTTCGTGCTAGGTCAATACCTGACAAATATCTCGCGGGATCGTTTAACCTGCGCAACGCGGGACTCGCCGGGCGTCTGCATTTTACGCTCTTCCTTTAATCTCAACGTTCCGGGCAGTTAACTAATCCGCTCGTCGGCCGAACCGGTTAACTCCGCTTTTTCAAATTCTTCAAATTCGTCGGACAGCTCGATTAACCCTGAACTTCATTTACGTCGAATAACTTTCCTAGTTGTTACGTTCAGTACCACGACACAATTATTTCGGACATAAAAAAAATGGCAACGCTCAAGATCACGATCAAGCATGTATTTATGCATTTTACATATCCATTAGTTTAACCGTTTCGATGCTAAACGACTTTTGTGGATATTTACCAAAAATGCGGAAATGATTGGGTATGCAAAAAAATTAATAAGAGTAGTTATCTGATGAGATCACAAATATTGTGTTACTAAAAAATATCAAAAACTAACATTTATTCAAATAAATTTACTTTGATTTATTTCTTGAAGAACATAGTAAGAAAATTATAATTGATACTGATAAACAGAAGCGGCTCCGCGCTCTCCGCAATTTTGGCACAACGCAAGAGCGCTATAGTCCTCAGCGCTCGAACGGTTAAAGCTACACCTGTAATATCGAAATAAAACGCATTGTATAATGTTCATTCGATTTCCCATCTAAAAGGAAATTTCAAATCATTCTCCTCCATTTTCTTTTCGTGAAATTAACCGATTCGGCTAATCGGTGGTTCGTATACACACGAACCAACATGGAGGACGCGCGTGCATTGTCTCGGACCAATTTGAGCGTCTCGTGTTAATCCGACGCCGGTATAAGCGTCATTATTGAACACTCGGTACAGAGGTATTATTGGAGTATCATAGCGTAACGAGTAATCTGACGTAATTGGTGACCTAATACGTAAGAGTATGGATTCGGTGTTCGGCCTCGAGGACGCTTCTTCAACGGTTACGTCATGACGGCTCGTGACGTCACCGCGGAAACAGGTGACAACCACTATCCGGCCGGTGACGTCGAACGGGAACGGACAACGAACCTCCGTTCTGCGCATGCGCGTTACACCGTGTCAGACGTGAACAGCACGTCTCCATCGCGACCAGTTTCTTTCGGAAGCATCCACGCATTTGCTCGGGCCGAGGGCTGTCTCCGGCCGACGGCGGAGCGACGGGGCATGATCGTCGCCTCGAGCAACGTCATTGAATCGGCGACGGCTAGGCCCTAGATGCGCGCATGTTCCCCGTTCAAAGTAACCTAACGGGTCGTCGAGAGGCGGCCGATTACCCCGCTCTAGACAATTTAATAGACAGTGACAACACTTACGAGTGCCGCTGGACTGTCTGTCATTGTTTCCGGGATCCTTTTCGCCTGAGGACCGATCTCACTAGTGGTTAAACGCGCGATAAAGGGAACACGTACTCACGACACCGTACTCGAAATCTCGGATACTGTCTCGGCCATCATGGATGGCACGGCCGTGTCGATCGCCGACTCGTTTGCGCCGCAACCGTATCTGCCGCCATCTTGCAAAAACCGCGGGAAACTTTTCAACGAATTCGATTATCGTTGAATGGTAACGGAATTAAATTGCACTTCCGGGAGCCTGCGATCGTATGAGTGCGATTGAAACTGAGGGAGAAAGGTTGTTTGAATTATTTTGTAAAATCAATAAACATTTGGCGCCTTGTTTGTGTAATGATAATTGGCATTGATTGGAATGGTTAGAATAATGATGTTATCATTTTAGAGTAAGTACGCTTTCCTTTTTTACCTGCGTAATGTGATAGCGACGAGTGACAAGATAGACATCTTATAGGGTTACTTGTACAATAATCTGAAAAATGTGATGGAAAATTTTATGAAAAATAATGTTTCAAATTTGTGTGGAATAATATCTTGAATCTTTATGTTCTTGGAAGATTTGTGTTGAATCACCTCGGGTAAAGCCCCGCAGAACTCATTGGATTGTTACAATAGTTAAATATCTATATGGTTAACATAATCGAGCTGTATATTTAATATTATTAAAATTGCGGGGGATAAGGCTAGCTCAACACATCGTTGTAAATAATCTACGTTGTAACGCCATCTATGATAAAACGCCCAAGTTGTTAAACAATTAGTTCCAGATCTCGATTACTAGATGGGAGAGCAGCATGTTTTAGATATCAGCGATGTCAGCGACATCGTTGATCGACAGAAAGTAAAGACTACAGCCATCTAACGGTGTACAAAATAAATCAGATAAATCAAAATTATCTAATAAAATTGTACGTTATGGAACGTTATGAAATTGTAAATGATTGTTGATTTGATCATGCGGTCGAATGGTGTGAACAAAAAAATATTTACTTTCGATCTCTTTCAGTGTTGCTGTTTTATCATCTCAGACACGTATTGATGCATTTGGGACGGAAGAACGTCTACCCCTTGATGATGATGTTCATGTCGCTGCTTTACACGTTTTTCAACGGAAGTGCGGCGGAGGCACGAGCGACTACGATGATCTAGTGACATTTTTCAATATATTAACGCCTTGCGCGTTTTTTGAGCTCTTATTACGCAACTGCGAAGAAAGTTTGAAAAACGAACATTTATCAAAATGTAAGCTGCTTATTTTTTCGGACGAAAATATTACAATTATAACTTACAGTCAGGTTCATTTGGTTAGACGAAATTTTCATCTCAAATCGGACTAACCAATTGTAACTTTCGCGTGAATTTTAACTTATTCTTACTTTTAGGATGAGGAACATGAGTTATTAGTTGTTGTATCATTTTTATCATGATATTTGTTTCTTACTCGATCAGAACATCTCGAAACATATCATGTTTCTTTCCATTGTTGAGGCTTCCTATTGCAACGGTACGCATGACATTTTCTTTGGATTGTTTTGTTTTTATAACCTTCAGTGTTAAAATTGAATAGTTTCGAATTTATTTCAGTATTCCAAGAGCGTTACGTCAGCCTTAAAAAAGTCACCTGCGCTGAGACAACGTGGTTCGGTTGCTGCAAAGATTTTGCAACCTCGAACAGTATCTCCGGAAATAACATCGATTCGTGAGAGAGAAACACCAATTGTCGTCAACAATGAATCAGAAATCATTGTACAAAAGGTATCTAATGAAAAGGAGCCGGAATGGAGGTGTATGGAGTTGGATTCTACCAAGCTACAGAAACATTGTCTCATGCTATCCAAAATAAGATTAACAAGTAAGGAAATTTGATGTACCTAAGTTAGTTATCTCTGCTCGAACTTTGAGTTCCTATGGGAAATTAATAGTTATTAACCGTAGCATTGGTTATCACGACGACCATGGCAGGATATATTTTAGCCCCTCAATCTTTTGATCCATACACATTTGCAATGTGCTCCCTGGGCACTGGCTTACTTTCGGCAACTGCGAATGCTATCAATCAATTTTTTGAAGTTCCTTTCGATGCGCAAATGTCAAGAACAAAAAACAGAGTGTTGGTTAGAGGTTACATGACGTATGTACGATAAAGGTGTATATTTGAGAACTGTGACAGAGAAACCGAGTAAATTTAACTTTAAATAGAATTGTCTGTATTCAGGCCTGCGCATGCTGTGATATTTGCCACAATGTCTGGTATCAGTGGGTTATGTTTACTTTACAGCGAAGTAAATGGTCTGACTGCAGCATTGGGTGCAACTAATTTGTTTCTTTACACTTTAATTTACACTCCTATGAAACGAATTAGTATACTGAATACATGGGTTGGATCTGTTGGTAAGTTACATTATATCATTATTTTTTCTTGAATAAACTAAAATACGTTTACGTTTAATACAAATTTATTGATTGCACTCGGTGGAAGTTCAAAGTGTCGTAACTATTCTCAGTAGGAGCTATACCACCGCTAATGGGTTGGGCAGCTTGTACCGGCGATATTACGACGCCTGCCGCCTGGATTATGCCTGGTATACTGTATGCTTGGCAGTTTCCTCATTTCAACGCTCTGTCATGGAATTTACGACCAGATTATTCTCGAGCTGGTTATCGAATGATGGCCGTTACAGATCCAAATCTATGCCGTAAAACAGCCTTACGCTACACAGGGATATTAATGGGTCTTTGCTGGTTGGCGCCGATATTAAATGTAACAAATTGGTGGTTCGCCTTGGAGTCGACGCCGCTGAACGCATATTTCCTTTACTTAGGTAGGTCGAAAAACAGAAGGAAGTAAGTAACGTATTGCATTACTTAACGTCATCGTTTCTCACTTTTTAGCGCAAAATTTTCATAAACATTCAGACAGTGCAAGTTCACGGAAACTCTTTCATTTCTCGCTGATTCATTTACCAATACTTATGGTACTTCTACTTGTAAATAAAAAGTACTGGTTCACCGACAAAGCACAAGATACGCTAATGAACGAAGAAAAGCAAAATGAATTTGCTATTCTGCAGCGAATGACAAAGTTGATCGCATCGACATCTTAACCACTCTAAAACGATCTATTTTGTGCCACTTTTGGACGTGATAATCACGAGTCATTGAAATACTCTGTCGTTAGAAACACTGTCGAAATAGGAATCTGTCAAGCGGTTACCGACAAAGTATTTTGTAAAATAGTGTAATGTGTAAATAAAAATAGTTATTTGTTACAGCTGTTGATCATTGAATTCAACAAGTACAATTCAATCGCAATAAAAACAAGAAGGGAATAATGATCTCGTATAAATTTGTAATTGGTATTTAGTGCACGATTTAGTAATTAGAAAAATAATAGAAGATAAAGAGAACACAGACTGGTACGTTTTGCGTACGAGTATAGTACTGTTATATCGTTATAATAGGATTGATAAAACATTGAATTGAATTTTATTTGCGTAGAATATATAATACACTATACGAGAACGCAAACGTTACGTGTACAATTCATTTCCCGCATCTGTGCCGACTATATAGTCGACACAAATTAGAACTGCGCAATGGTAAGAGGAATCATTCACTCGCTCCATCTTATGTTTCAAAGCCGAGTCTTCGTGTCTCTGGAATTCGCCATTGTTCAATCTCTATCGTCGCATTTTGTTTCGCTCGCGTTCTTTGTTTACGCGACGGGACCAATAAGGAGAATCTGTCGAAACGAATTTTTGCTACCACTACCAAAGTCGGCAGCCGGCACAGACGGGAAAGGTCTAGTATACTGGTTTTACAGGGTATCTTTATTCTTTACAAAGCGATATTGTGTCATCCATAATGTTTCTTTTTGCAGCGAATTCTATTGCCATCTGTCTTCTCGTTTTAGTTAAATTTCTATGTCCGACACAATCCAAATTTTTTGTGAAACACTTGTTCCTGCAGCACTGTCTACATAATTTGTAAACGCACTTAAAACCCTATGAGAAAAATTAACACGCGATTAGTCGAAACGTTTCTCTCTAAGAGGAAACATTAGTTCAGAGAAATTGTAAAATTGCATTTTACGAACCACTGGATTTGGGCAACCGTAACATAAATTAGATCCTCTTTTCGCGACAACAGCTGATCTGTTGGGACGCCGTGCGATTCGTCTAAGTTTCTTCAAGCGTTTTCGCGATATTTCGTTTCCATCCTCATCTGTGAATCTTCTTTTTGCGGCATCGTCCTCCTGTATGAGCGTGATCCGTTAATTTAAGACTTTAAGAGTTGCGATGCGTCGATTATGTTCAAACGCAATACGAGATAGACGAACCTTTTCAATGGGTGACGATGACGTCTCTTTCTCCTCTGTCGAATTACGGACGTATGGTCGACAGAGCCATGGTGGCAACTTTAGATTGTAGTCTATAATAAAACAGAACAAGAGCTGATCAGTATAAGTACTACATACCTATGTACTTATGTGTACACAGCACGTTGATGGAGAGTAGACACTTAGTAGGAATGCGGATCTAGTTAGAGTGAAAAGAAGGAAGAACGCATGTCTCTTGTGACATGCATTTTCAGGATTAATGTGCTACTCGTCGATACAATCGTACGATAATTAATACCGTAAAGAAAACAAATAGCAGTATGTACGTACCGTTCGTTTGTTCCCGCCACGGGACGTGTCCCTCGTGATAGGATAAATAACGATCCCTCAAAGCGTAGACGACACTTCTGAACGATTTCATAGTAGAATTTCGTGCCAGATTTTCTCTTTCTTCTTTATTCTCTGGTAAACAAAGTCTACTCTCCGGTTAGAAGAATGTCGTATGCACCGTTTATATGATAATTAACGAGAGAACAGTGAAAAGAAAATTGCGTTTCAAAGTTGAGAAACGAAGGTTGAGTTGAGACAGGTGTGGGGTCGTGTGGGATCAAAGAAAGCGATACATACGTGTGGTGGAATAATTTAAAGAGATGACCACGGATGTAAGAAGCCGGAGCGGGATATCGCTCAACTAGATCCAAGTATTCGAGCGCTGGCTCCCAGCTGGGTGGATAGCAACCCTCGAATATGTACGGATTGTAAAGATTGCCTTCCGCGGACATCACTGCTTGCACACCAGTTTCTTCTATACACCTTTTGACATCTTGCAGACATTGTATATTGCCATTAGCGAATACGGGAATCGTGACGGCTTCTCTACCATTTCAAACAACAGACCAATGTGAACGAAGAGAAAAAGTTGATCAAGTTTCGCGAATCGAACCGAAATCGGCTCACGATAATACCTAACCGCTTTGATGTGATCCCAAGAAGCCAATCCAGTGAGCGGTCCCTTCTGCTCTCTGGTACGACCGTGCACGGTGAGTAAACGTGCTCCGGCACTCTCAAGCATGCGAGCGTATTCTACGGTCTTTTCGATTTCCGGAAATACTCTCAGTTTGCAGGTTACAGGTACCCGAAGTCCTTTGCTCAATGTACTCACTGGAACGATAAAAAAGGTGATGATGATGAAGAACTCTGAATCGATGAATTCTTGACTTATGATGATAAGAGAAAAGGAGAAGAGGGTTGATGGTCGACGAGATGATCGCAACCCAATGAACACGATACCATACTGACCGATTTGTCGCAGCAAATCCCAATCGTCTTGTAGAAAAGCACCGTAGCGACCGCGTTTCGCAATAGCTTGAGGACAGCCTAAGTTCACGTCTACAGCGTCGCAGTGTGGCTCGGCCAAAAGCGCCGCTTCCAATAACACACTCGGCTCGTTGCCGCAAAACTGCAACACGGTTGCGTGTTAGGAATAAATCGAAACAATATTTCATGAACGCATGAGATGATTCACCTGAACGATCAACGGCCGATCCTCCCCGGTACTTGCGAGGGCTTCTCGCCGATACTTGGGATCTCTGCGGAAGACCGAGGAATGAAGCATCGGTGTGTAACAGAGATGAGCGCCGTGTCGTCGGCTCAACAATCTCCAGGCCAACTCGCTCGCGTCGACCATCGGCGCGACCACGTATCGCGGACAGCCCAACACAGCTTCCCAAACGTTCTCCGTCGGATTCGCCGGCGTGGAGTCGTCGGCTCGATCGTCCGGTAACTGTTCCGCTGTAACCGACGTCATCTGCGAGGGAAATTGCGCCTTAGTGCGAGCAAGTACAAGTTCGCGGTTGCAGTTACGTTCGTCGAGTCGAAAATACGTGGCGGAATACGCTAGAGTTTCGCGACCGAAGCGTCTCGATGCACAACACACGCAACGAAGGGACGAACGATCGGTTACTCGAGAGTCAGATTCCCGTGGACGTCGAGGTGAACCGATCGCGCTGAGGAGACGAGTACGCGAAACGCGGCGACTGGACGGGACATCGAGCGGAAACGGGTAAACGGGGTGAACGGGGTGAACGCGGCGACGCCGGCTTCGACAGGTCCGACTCCAGAATAGGAGACAGCTGGATGGACTGAGCCACGCGCGAATTCATCTTCAGTCTTGGCTTCTTCCGAAAGGAACAAGTACGCCGTATCCGAGTGTGCCCGTGATTCATGAACCTCTTCGACGCCGACGAGGAGCCGGACAGTCTCCTCTGCCGACAGCTCGAAATCTGCTCGTGGCGTTCGTGTTCGGGGGAACGCAACGGAGGCAGTCGGACGGACGGCGCACGACACGTGGTGGTCGCAGCGGAAACGGAAACAGGAACTGCGGTCTCTAGAACGTCGACGTTGACGTCGACGGTAACAGCGACGGCGACGGCGACGGCGAGCGTCTCGGCGACAGCTTCTGAAATAGACGCGTTCGCCTCCTGTCCCGCGGGACACGCGTCGAACATCCAACGAGCGGAATTCCCGGTGGATGACCTCGTTTCCGAGTTGGTCGATCGACGTCTGCCGCTTCTCCTCAAATACGTCCGCAGGAACTTGCCTATCCTCTCGACGGTTTCGCAGGAATTCGTCGGACGGACAGTCGAAGGGTCACTCCCAGAATTCCGTTGCTTCTTCGATCCGTCGACCCTGTTCGTCGACCAGCAGCGAGTAGTCAACGAATTCGCAGCGGCGAAGCAGCAAGAGACCGGCGACGGTGTCGACGAGTCTACGAGCGCCACGGAATCTCGGAAAACGATCGAGTGGTTACGCTTCGCGCGCGACGGCAGTTGGGACGGCGGAGACGGCAGTCGAGTCGGCAGTCGTGACGGTACTTCCGGCGATACTCCCGATGGTACCTCCGACGAGAACTCTATCGAGGACTCGTCGCCGGTCGTCGACTGGACCTTGTAAGAGAAGCAGAGTCGGAAGTTCCTGCGTTGGTCGTTCCGAGGACGACTTCTCGTTTCCATGGTCGCTCGATCGAACTCCTCTTCTCGCGGACCTATCCGCTTCTCAGGGACGGCGTGCCGGCTCGATGTCTTCTCCTCGGTGCTCGCGTTGACAGCCGCCTTCCGCTCGCGTTTGTTGCGCACGTACTCGTACGTGGTCAAGCCTAGGCACGCGATGTAGCCGTGGAAGAAGCATAAGTGAATCAAGAGGATCGCCGCGATCGCCGACAGGATTCCGATCGCGGAGATCAAGAGGATGGACACGGTGTCCGAGACCGGGGCGATGGAGAGAGCCGCTCGAGCCGCGGTCGCGGAGGCGATCGCCGAAGCAGTCGTGGAAACGGTGAAGCTGGTCTCGGTAGAGGCGGATGGGCTCGTAGCGGTCGCGTTCTCCATGCTAGCGTCTCCCTCTTGGCTCGCCTTGTTGGTAACCAACGAGGTCAGCTCGGCCGCGGAGAGGCCGACCACGCACAGGCTGGCCAAAATCGCGGAGATCAGGCAAACGAGGAAGGCGGAGTAGTTCCTCGCCCCGATGCAGTTATTCAGCCACTTGCAGTGGTGGTCGAAGCGGGCGACGCATTTGTTACAGATCGAGCAGTGCTTGGTCCTCTTGCTGTCGGTGGTTATGTTGCAAAGGTGACACCGGCCGTTCTCGATCACGCGCGCGTGCTTCGTCCTGTCGAACTCCGGCAGAACTTTGTTCACCGGCTGCGCCCGGACACGGGGATCCGCTGGATCTAACAACAAAACAGTCAAGTGGGAGCAGAAGTGCGCAAAGAAGAGGACCGCGATCGCGCTAGAGAGAATCGGCCGTAAGCCCGGCTCGAGCAGCGGCGTCAGTACCGTGAATGTGTTTACCGCGATTACCAGGATCACGATCCAGCCGATCACTTGCTGCGGGTGCAACGGCAACTGGAGCCCGTGCACGCGTCTAAACTTTCTGCGCTCCGGCGTTATGAACGCGTTCTCGGCCGAACACCATCTCGATACGATGCCCTTTGCGCTTTCGTTTCGCATAACGAGTCTTTCCCTCGCCGAGCCTTCGCATCGGGGCTCTCTTCAACATTACCCGTTGAGACTGCTGTTCGCCGCTGTTCTCCGTGAACGCCCTTCCTTCCCATCAACCCTTTCTCCGTTCCTCTATTTCCTCTCCGTTTCGTTGCTCCTTTCTTCGACTTTCATGCTTCGTTTCTTTATCTCTCTGTCGACCACGTTCCGTCGTTTATCGTCGCATCTCGTTGGTCCGCGATCTCTTCCTTTTCCGATTTCAGAGTTCACGGCTCGACGGATTGCACGAGACGCGACCGCTCGTGTCGCAACGTCGAAACGTCGAAACACTGAGGCGTCGAGACGTCACGCGTCTACTCGCCAACTCTCGGGGAAACTCGGTCGGCCAACCGTTCAACGGAATGCGACTGGTGATTCGCGACCTGCGGCCAATTCGTCGAATCGATACTCGCATGGCAACGTCGACGCGGGGACGTCGATGTGTCTCTCGTACATTGTACGAATGACGAATGATATGTCACCGCGTGGACGCTGATAATTTCTTGTTTAAATCCGACTCGTTGGATATCGACGTGTTCAACTGTTTTTCTATCGATTCGGCTGAACGCCAGCTTTCTTTTCCTCGTCGCGTCCCGTCTTTCGATAATCGAGTCTCAGCTGCGTTCTGTTTTTAACGATACGCTCTAACCCCCTCGATTCTTTCAGCCCCTTCGCGTGATCATTTTTTGACGTATATGTATTAGTTTTTAGTAAGTTCTCTATGTGTATACTTATGAAGGTACTCAGGTACTTACGGTGATATCCTGCTCGTCACTATCGTTACGCGCATATCGAGATGCGTACGGTTAGACGATAAGTTAACTGTTTTTTCGTAGTATCGAACTAACCTTAATTCCGTGATCCAATGTGAAGGTTAACCGTGAGATTTTACTAAACTTCAACGTACAGGCATCGACACAACTAGAAAATATACGTGGTTTCACGTGTTAGTTTGAAAATATGCTCAGGTCTCGCACAACGTGTCGTGGTCCGATCGTGTTTCTATTTTCATAATTTTTGTCGATTCGCGTAAATTTTGCATCGATGAAGTAAGCACAAGTAAACATGTGGTATGTCGTCGTGTATCGTGTATCGGTGACTTGGAAGTGTGCATTCGCGTGCACTATCGAGAACGTGATATCGATAAGTCGGCGCGTTTCAAGCGGAGAGTGACAGTTCGAATCGATCGATTGTCGATACTCATGTTTGTTCGCAAGGTTCTAATAATGGTAGTGGTTTTCTAATGTAACTGTCGATAGATCCGTTCGACTCGTTCAGTTTTCTTTATCGGAAATTTTCTACTGTCAGCTTTTACAATTTAACGACGATATGTGAGCCGCAAAGATGACTGGATTGATCGTCTTTATAACTGTTTGCATCGTTTTGTATTGCAGTTTCACCTGGTAAGGTTAAAGATCGATCTCACTTTAGTCTCATTTCTCCGATAAGAAATAATTTTATAACAATTCTTCTGCAGGATAATACCTAGACTACTGGCATGGTTGGTCAAGAGACGATACAAAATTTATTTACGAGTCGGTCACATTTCGTTACCGTACTTCGTACTTCGAGACGTAAACGTTTCAAAGAATGGATTTACATTGGTAATGTTCGCGAATGATTGAATGTCGACGTTATCGCGTGATTGAAAGGAAAATTTTATTCAAACATGTTTTAACGAGTTCATACCGATTTTAGCAAGTGGAGGAAATAAGTATACGGAGCAGTTTATTTAGCAGTGATGTAGCAAAGCTTTTGGCTGTGATAATGAAGGATGTTCGGATAAACAAGGACGTTCCAACAAACGTGCCGTGTTTGCCAAAGAAACCAGTACATCCGTTGGATTTTCGAAATAAAAAGATTCCTCCGATAATCATAACATTTGTACAGGTATTACATTTATATTTATACATGTGCAGTCCAAGTTATCTGATATCTCAACAGGTGACCACAGTATAAACAATGTATGATGAATGAGAAACATTAGTTATTGGTTACATAACTATTGTTTTTAATTTTGCCATTAAATGTTTCAGTTTATGGCGGTACACATAGAGAATTTAAGCCTTTTGGTGTTGGGTAACGGCTGGCTTGCAAACGGTAGTGCAGAAAGTCTCAGTTTAGATGGTAGCGTTGTCCATGGAGCACGTACTCTTCTTGGGTCTGCTAGCGTTATAGGTGGTGCAATGAAATTATTACGACATGCGTCTGATGCGTGTCTCTCGCAAATATCGTTTGCGGGCACTGCGGAAGCTACGCTGAAAGCGCACGGAGAACTTTCAGTGGAGGTAAGGAATAATCTTGTTTCATACGTCAATGCTTGCATGTTTGTACAGTTTTATATGAACATTGCTTGGACCTTGGTCGTAGTGTTATACGATATTATACGGCGGTCCAAAGATTTAGTTCGATGCTTTGAGTGGTAGCTGTTTGTGTTCAGCGCATTTAACGGATGAATCAAAACAGCTGTTCTGTGAGAGAGGAATGAATTGAAATGAAGCAGGATCTAATTTATAGAAACTGTACATCGGAATAATGCAGACAGAGGGTTCTGGAGGTGCGGATTTAGTTACGTTCTTCAAAGATAAAAGTTCATTAACCGACTCAACTTCGTATTCGAGCGCGCACGTCGACTCTTCCAATGATTTATTGCCACGATTAGCACCACTCATACCGAAGGTAAAGTTCATGGTATCTCATTCTGAAATCGGATCGGAACTTCATTCGCGTCGTCTCGAAAATGAATTGTCCGCAGGATTTTATGCTGAAAATAGGCAATTCTTCCGTGATCATGGGTAAAGAAGACGGCATGGTACTTGGTTTAGAAGGTACAATGAAGGGCCTTCAAATTAACACGAAATTCCAACCTTGCAACTTTCAATTAAATCTCACTTTAAATTTGGATGGTTTGTCCGTTCGTAGCAAACTTCCTATTTTGACGCTACGTTCGTTGTTAATAAGTTCAAAGGTATTATACCTGTACACTTTATACAACGTATCTGTCTGAATTTTATTTCACTTATTCGAGTTGCGTTCCCTATAGGTGGATCGGAACATTTTACAAATCGCGACGCAAATCAATAACCTTTCGATTATTTACGATCATAAGGATTGGGAGACAATGTTGTGCAGTGCCGATCACGAAATTTCAAGGCCAGTAACTGGCATAAATTTCAAGAATAAATTACCATGGTTAGATGTCCGAGTGAACACCGAACTTTACGATTCATTCCTGAGCGTTAAGTTATTGGATGTCGACGAAGTTTCGTGCGGGGTGGCTCATATGAAGTATTCGCTAAACACTTTGACAGGTACAAATGCGATGCACTCATAGATACCGTTTTCGGTGCCGTATCAACTTTCACGATACAAGTAAAATCTAACAGAAAATTGTTTGATCCGATAGACGTGACCGACGGTTGGAATACGGAATTGGTAGTGGAATCTTTATATTGTACTTTAAACGGTTCCAGTACCGTCACTTCGGAAACATCCCATCGATGGGGTACACCGTTGTCCATCGGAGTACTGTTGGCTACAACGCGTACCAATGCTATTGGAATCGCCGTCGATGCTCTCGTCGCCGAATGGAGTTTAGAATTTGCAAGGTTCCTCGAAGAAGCCTTCAAGTGAGTCAACCGTCGAGTGCATTATATTAACGCTATTTCACTGTCACCGTTGCAGAACTGTTACAGAATTGTCTTTACAGTAGGACTATGTTCTCGTAATTTATCATTTTCCCCAAATAGACGTTGGTGAACGTAAATTTCCGATTATTCTTCTTATAGGTGTTACCAAAGGAACAGAAGAACCGATTCAACGAAAAAAGATAATCACGGTTCGGATAATGTCACCCAATTGAATCTGAATGTTACGAACTGCAATTTATTTTTTATCGCGGAAAATAATCGTACGTATGTGTACGTATAGTGTGTGATCTTCAAAATCTGCACGGTATCTAGTTGTATAACGGTTTTATTCATTTTTAGTTTCTATTATGACACGCTTGGATACAGCGAGCTTTGAGCACAATGCGAAACGTTTAGTAGCCGTTGCAGAGGGTGTGAGTGCGATAACTCTGAACAAAAATGAGCCGATTGTTTGCCAGCACGCTCAAGCATTAGTTCATCCGTTCCTAGCCGTAAGAAAATGCAAAGGTGCCGTCTCATCTGACACGATAAATATCAGTTTAGACGGTACCAATTTGACTTGGAGTCCAAATTTGCATCTACGACTTTTACAACTTTGGTTGGAGTCTGATGATTTTCGCTCGATTTTAAATCGAAACGTCGAAGGTATTTGTACAACTTGAAATAATTTAATTTATTTATTTCCGATTTTTTACGGGGGGTGGGGGGAATTTTGTCGGCAGGCGAAAAGGAGCAGACTTCAAAGCGGAAGCGAGCGTTGGACGTGCTGGCTACGGGAGGCATTACTTTATCGATAGACATTTCCCCGAAACACTTCTTGGAACTTTCGTCGGATCAATTGCGTTGGTCGGAAGGGGAATGGAGGTTGAACTACATCCGCATCGCGTTAGATATGGCCGATATAATTATGATAGAGGGATTCGAGTTGGTCAAAGTGACGGACAATGAAGAAGTCCGCGTAGAACGGCAAAGTAACGAAGGTTTCGAGCTAGAGTGGAATGAGACATGGGCGCTCAATGTCGAATCGGTGAAAGCTTGTTTCCCATACGAGCATCAGTTCACCGACGCGATACAGAATGAACTGTTCAGTATAAGGAAATGGTTGAAGGAAGTTCATTCCTCTTCACACGGCAGGAATAGTGACAGAGGAGAAGGAGAAGGAGAACGAAAAAAATCATTGTTGCCTTGTGATTTAATAGTAAAGGTAGGTTTCATGCGTAGGTATCACTGAATAAATCCGCTGGTAAAAATCAATCGAAATTGGTGGAGACTGAATGTGATTGCAGATCAAAGAATGGGTGTTCGAAGTGAGCGACGATCCGTTCGAGGTACGATTGCGAGACAATTACGAGCTCCTAGAGGACGAATACAAGGAAAGTTTGAAAAGGCAAGCGATGCTCGACGCGAAGGTACAAGAACTTTGTCGAGCTCACTTGTTGCTGCCACAAGATAAAGTTGAAGAACTGTACGCTAGCTTGTACAAGAAGAATGCGGAGATTTACGTGCAACGCTGGAAACAGATGCAACGTGCTGGTCCTGCGAGGACAAGGCTGTTCACGTGGTCGATGCTGGACCTAGAGATACTTATACTGGCCGATCCGTCGATTAACGGTACGGAGAACGCCGTCAAGGCGCTCCGGAAAATGGACGCGAAGACGCCTTGGCCTGAGGACGGCCTCGAGTTCAGCGCGCTTTGGGTTCGCGGGATCAGTTTGAAATGCGCGGAATGGAAGCTGCAGCTGAGAGACTTCCCACAGCCTTTATTACTGGTCGAGAGTTTGAGCGTATGGGGCAGGCTGGCAGGTGCCGAAGCGCTCGCACCTCCCCGGGCCAGGCGCACCGTGCGAATCGAGATTGGTGCACCTTGGGAAGACATTGTCGTCGAGCGAGGAATGACATCGTTGAAGTATTACCATGATCTAAACTGGGACATCGACAAGTTCAGGTACGCGTTCGGTCCGTGCTGGGAGCCAGTGATAGCTCAGTGCAACCTTAGCTTCGAGAAGATCATACATCCGTCGCGAGATCCGAGTCCTCCGTTACCTTTCTGGGACAAGATGCGACTGTCCCTTCATGGAAGACTGACGCTCTGCGTGAAACAGCTGACGGTGTTACTGCACGGCTCGTTGGATCCGTACAACACCACGGAAGAGATGGAGCTGACGTGGACAGGATTGGAACTGGACTGGACGCAGGGTCGGATAATAGTGAAAGGAGATCTGGACGTGTACGTTCGCACGGCGAGTAAATACGACGACTGCAGGCTGCTCCACCTGCCGAACGTGCGGCTGAGCATCAAGTTGGCTTGGGTTTGTCTAGGTGACCCGCGAGACCACCACGCTGCGATTCCTTGCGCTCCAGACAGACTACCCGAATATTCGAGTAACCAAGAGCACGATTCGTTCAGAGCGTTCCGCTCGCAAAACTTGAACGCCAGTTTGTCGCTCGAGACGAAGCCAACCGGGTCGCCAGCGCTCAGCAGTGCGCCGACGGCGTTACTTTACGGCAGCACCCTCCGGTGGTTCGAGAATTTGAAGCTGATTCTCTCCGGGGCGACCAGACCGACCAGGAAAGGGCCTCTCTTCAAGAACATCAGGCCCAGGAAGAAACAACTCAGCCGACACTACCGTAAGGTTCGACTGACGTTGGCGTTCCATCGGTTTCACGTCAGCTATTGGATGTCGTTCGCGATGCAGCGTGGCTTCGAGGTGACCGGCGGCAGGGTGGCCTGCAGCAGCGAGCACAACTTGTCCTTGCACCCGATCGACGACGATTTGATTCATCGGCCGCGAGCCGAATGGTCCGTCGTCTACATGAACTGCGAGCTCAGCGACGCCGAGATCTGGTTGAAGAGCGCTCTTCAGGAAGACAGAGAGACCGCGTCGTTGCGACAGCCGGTCGAAAAGTGTTATTGCTTGAGCGTGGCTCGCGTCAGTTACGGCAGGGAGGCGATGGTGATAGGAGTGAGCGGAGGTGACACTCCTACCCATAGATTGGTCGTGCACGATCTGAAAGGGGCTTGGACCAAAACGAACAGGGACGTGGCGTTCGCTCTCTTCGATTCCTTCATCAAGACCCAGCAGCTGAAGAAAAACTTGTCGACCTCCGCGTTGAAGGGCTTTCACAGAGAGAGTTCGACCACTCCGCATAAAAACCGAACCAGATCGACCGATCCGCAAACTGCTGCGCTACCCGCGCAGATCAACTCTTCGTCTGCGAGCAGCAAACCGCAGCAAGGAGAAGCTGTCGGGATGCTGCAGAGATTGATAGCCGAAGCAGCGAACAAACCGGTAGCGTTCAGCGACGATCTCTCCGTGCAGACGAGAGGTCAACAGCTCCGTGGGCTAGCAGCTTGCCATCAGGACGACGTTCTGCACAAAAATTGGCTGAGTACGAGTCGTTTCATCACTTTCCTAATTTCTACGAGATCACTCTCTTATTTTCTTTGTATTCAAAGATCAAATTACCGTTCCATGTTTTCGTGTTTCTATATTAACACGCTGACTGCCACGGGAATCAGCGTTTCACGTACCACTTACACCTTTGTAACAAAGATAGACAAGAATAATTATCGATTATTTGCTATCACGATTATTGCGTTACGATATTAGCTACTTACTCACGTATTGAATATTTCTATTCGACGTCGGTTGCCTTATGAATCATAATTGTTAACACGTTAACATTCGCTTCCATCGTTTCAGTTGCCCTGGTCAACAGTCAGGTATTACTAAAGGGCATCGAGACACGCGGCTACGTGATTCTATCCGCGGCGAAGGCGGAAATATTGCAGAGGATTCATCAGCCGGTCTGGAAGGAGAGAACCTTGGTGACGAAAACAACGTGGGTCGGTTCCTTGGAGTGTATGCAATACTACGCGACTGTCAGTGCGAATATTGACGAAAAAATCGACGACAACATAATGTGGCTGACGTTAGACAACATTCAGGTGAGTTGTACGAAGGTAACCAGCTGGCCAGGCTGTCTCTGTTCCGTCTAATAATCTGAAACGAGGTGAACAAATTGTGTTAACTGAATGACGGAATTTATGAAACAAAGGAAAAAGATTCAACGGTGATCGCCGGTTTGCCGGACATACCGGCGCTGGTAGGTTCCGGGCAGAGCGTCGGCGGAGTCGTCAGTCAGACCGTTGGAGGTGGCGGTGGACCGCAACACCAGCTGCAGCGGATCGTCTCGAGGTGCAAATGCGAATTCTTTTACGTCGGGTACGGTCAAGCCCTGGACGTCGGTTCCGTCGATCAAGTACCACCGCCGCCGAGGGAAGAAGTCAGTCCGTGGGAAAGGAAGGAGCTCTCCGCCGCTGATGCGTTCACCTTGATGCACCACGACTTAGACGTTTGCACGAATTCACTCCAGTACGCAATGATTCTCGATATTGTGAACAATTTGCTGCTTTACGTAGAACCAAGAAGAAAAGAGGCATCGGAACGGTTGCAGAGAATGAGATTTCAGTTACAGCTCCACTCGATCGAAGATCAAAAACGGCCGATTCAACAATTACAGAACACCGTGCGCGGTTTAGTAGCCAAACTGAGGAGATTAGAGCGTGAAACGTATCTGGTTCAGAAAGCTCTCGCGGAGAAATCCAGCCCTGAGTTGCTCGCCGAGATGGAACGATTGGAGGCGAGAGTTTTCGAATGCAAGGAACAATTGGCCGCGAAAGCGGAGGAACTTGACGTTATGTTTAGCTGTTACAAGGAAACCACCGCGCCTGCCACAGCCTCCACCACTTTGAAAGACAAACCGGCAGCGGTTGCGAGAGTCGCCGAGATTTGCTTCAAGCACGCCCAGTGGAGATTGACGGATGCCGACGGACAATTGGGAATCGCTGACCTTATCTTAACCAATTTCTTGTATACCAAAACCAGCAAGACGAATGACTCGGTTGAACATCTGCTTGAACTGGGCTACGTTAGAATGACCAATTTGCTACCGAATCAGATTTATACAGAAGTTCTGACTCCTACGGAATTGCAAAGCAACATGCCCGTTGACAGGCAACGAGCTCTACGAGTCTTTTGCAGAGAAAAAGCTCCGGTGGCTGGTATATCCGTGAAGGAACACTTCGAGATAAACGTGGTGCCCTTGACAATAGGTAACTTGGAACATTCTCTTTTCTTTCTTTCATTCTCTGTCCACTCGCTGACTTTAAGACTTTCGTCTTATGCTACTATTAAATGTCATTTAGGATTGACCAAAAAGTTCTTCAACACTATGTTGAAATTTTGTTTCCCTGAGAGAGATCCGGAGGGAATAGAGGAGTCACCCGCACCGCAACGGGATTCCTCATTTTACGTGCCGATCGAAAGAAGAGATGATGTGGAGAAAATGAAGGAGAGAGCAGACAAAAATAAATTATTT